CCCCAAAACCCCAAAACCCCAAAACCCCAAAACCCCAAAACCCCAAAAAGATAGGGATTTGTTTTGATGAGAAGACAGTACAATTAATAAAATTTAATTCACTCTATATCAATTTCATCATCATCAAATTCTTCCTCATCTTCATCGATTTCAACTAAAAAATTAAGATTATAAGTATATACTTACTAATAATTTTTTCTTTTTCTTTAAGTAACTCGGATAATTGTTGACCGTCAACTTTCTCATCAAATATAAGTTCAAATTTATTCTCTTAACAAATGTCACCAAGCATTGATTTTTTCCATGAAAAATTTTCAGGTGGAGGAAACAAAGGATCTATGGCTATTCTGAATACATTGTCAACCATTTAGGGAATAAGCTTAGCAAGAAGTGGACTTGATAACTCCAAACATGGATTAGTGTTAGATTCGATTAAGTATATCTTAAACTAGTCATCAAACATGAAATCATAGCCAAAGATTTCAAAGGAATTTATCCTCTTGTGAGGATCTAATTTAGAGAAGGTTCCTCTCACTGTATCAGTGACCATTTTCTATATTTATGGCAGTAGATCACGGTTAAAGTCTATCTTTAAGTTTGAGTAATTGGCATTCAAAAACTTTTGGAAATCATCATAGCTCATTTTATTACCTGGCTCATATTTACCATAGTCATCTGAATGTTTCTAAACAGCATCATTAGTCAAATGAACCATTCTGTTTTATAGGTTATTTAATGAAAACTCTTTTGAACTGGTTCTTAAATATCCGTCTCGATAAAAATATGCCTTAATATTTCCTTTAACTGAGGTAACAAGGGCATAGCATCTTATATCGAACTTTCTTCTATTAATAAGTAGGGGGTTATGAATATATCTCTAGACAATGACAGTTCTCTTCTTATTTGAATACTGCTCGATTAAATTTTTAATATCTTATAATTCCTTTCTTACTTCTATTCCTTAACCTCTATTGGTATTTTCTCCTGGCTTAATGATCCAAATATTTTGAACATTTTTATATGTAACTTATTCTTCCTAAATGCTAAGGAAGTATTCTTTAAATTTTAAGAATTCAGGATCATCAATAGTTTTAATATGAAAAGTTAGGGGTAAAGAGAGTGAAATATCTTCACCCACTGCTTCATAATAATTTCTCATATTTAAAAAGAGGGCTTTTTTATTGCTAAGATGGAAATTATCTTCTAATTTATTATATATTTTCATGTATGAAGGATTTCGAAGATCATTTTGCACTGCATTAGTATTTTGATTATTGTTGTTAATTGTTATTGTATTATTTGTTTATTCGGAATGAGTGATCATTCTCTTAAAGTTAAACTACTTCTTTGAAGTTCTTGATGTAGACTCTTTTGTGCTCTATATTGATTAAGCCATAGTTGACTATGATCCAAATCCATTTAATTTTTGGTTATTCATAGGTGAAGGTTGATTATTGTTAAAGCTAGAATTCAAGGAGCTTATATTATTACTTTCATCTGGATTTGACTAATTCTAGATTTCTTCATTAAGCTATTTCAAAGTCTTTAGCTAGCTTACAACCTTATTTTTTCTCCATTAAGTCCAAATAAAATTTAGTTCTTCAATTTCACTTTTTTCTTAATCCTTTTAATACCACCACCATCTTTACTTTATGATGTTCTTTACCATAAGTGAGTTGTTACCAGGCCCAATATTATATTTATAGTATTAATCCTAAGTTTGATTAGTTTGCTATACTATTAAATTTTGCATATCATTTTCTTGATTTATAATTTAGTAGAGAAAATAGTTTAACTTTTCTTTTAATGGCAAGGCAGTGTCTTTATTTCTAAAATAGTTTTCAAAATTTTGATTAGAGTTTTGACCTTTTGCACTTATTACTATTCCAAAAAATTTTCCAAGTTAATTAATTCTTGCTTGGTTAAAAATCTTATCCTTATTTTTAAAAGTTAATGCAACAAATTCATTAAAGATCTTGAATGCCTTATTTATTCTTGAATTTTTCAAATGGGTGTAGGTCTAATGGTAAATTTTTATCTTAGTTATTGGTTCAGATGTAATTTACTCTGTCTACACAGCATCATCCGATATCTAGGTCAATAGTTGTTAAAAGAGTAAAATGTCATTGCTACTTAGAGTATTTTTCTTTGAAGATGCTTAATTATTGCCTAAATTTCCCTGTCTTGTTCGATCTAGGAGATCAGGCTATATTATATTAACACTAGATATAGCTCTCTTAGTTGAATTAGTTTGCCTGTCTTATCTGATTCTTTATGGTGAATTTTCAAGAATAGTTTTACTTTAGGGCTTTTGAATTCTAGGACTCTAGGATTCTCTATCATTTCTATCAGGACTTACGTTTGCTGAGTATTTTTTATTTCTCTTACTTCTCAAAATTGTTCCAAGCAAAGGATGGCCACAATTTTATGGATTATCCTTTATTACAAGAATAAGATTCTTGACTGATCTTAACAAAATTTTTGGGTTATCAACTATTCTCATATGCTGGGAATATATCAAAAAATTGAGAAGCGAAAGATCTCTTGATGCGATAAATTAACATTTGTCAGTTTCATCATTTTGCAACTGCTTTCTAAATAAATTATACCTCTGTTTTAGAGTTGAATATAGATCAGAGTATTTTCTAATTACTTAAACATTACAGAATTCAACATCTTTATTTATTCTTGGAAAAAGCTTGTTCATATTTTCCTAAACCTATTCTTTAGTGAGTCTGGATTAATACAGCTTGCAATTATTTTCCCTTTATAAATATTCTTTCTCTAAGCTCTAGTTTTGAGTGTCTAACTAATTAATCTTCAGTAAATCTTTAAAGTTATTGTTATAAGATTCGTTTGATTTCTGTAGATTTAAAACTACTTATACATTTTGCTATTTCAATTTTTATATGTAGGTAATCTATTAACTATTATTTGACTAAGTTGGTTGTTGTTTAAGATTAAGTTCTTGCTATTCTTCTATTTATTACTTCTGGTTTTCGTCAATATCTCTGTGAGTGCTTATAGTTTGATCTGCATCTTGAATGTTCGCATTATATCCTTCATACCAGTTCTGAAGTATTGTCTTATTAAATATTTGGCAAACTTATTCTTTGTAAGTTCTCTCAAATATCGTTCTATCAATTTCAAATGTCAAAATATCAATCTTGTTTGGATTTAACTAAAGAATAAGCAGAGCTTCTTCTGATAGAGGACAATCCTTCAATGTGTTAGGATATCTTCTTAAAAGTGCATTTATGATGGGCTAATTATTTTCTCTATGCTGCACTTTCGGTTGCTAATGAAGAATAGATTATTATTATGATGTCTGCTATTAATACTAAACATGCTGTATATGCTGCTAATAAAGATATTATGCATGCCCATTTTCAAATCCTACCATGCTTTATTTACTTTAAGCTTAAGATAAAGTCTTTGGAGAGACTGAATATGATTGAAAGCCCAATTATTATGAGTTACTATGAGTAGCTTGAGCACTGCTATTAGTATTAGTTTAATTCTTTTTGATAGCCTTAACTCTATGGTGTTTATTCTCGTTAGGCTGCTAATCATCTAAAACTGTAATTATTTATTTCTATTGCCCTTCTATCATAAATCTATCCACCTCATTCCCTTTTTTACCATTTCCTCTTGAACCACTTGGACTTATACTATCTCTTTTTAAGTATTAATCTCCATATCTTATAATATTAGGCATTTGATGCTTTGTCAATGCATCTATCTATGTCGCTAACTTACCTGTAATAATTTGCTTAGTTTTTAAAGATTATGAAAATTTGCCTTTTTAAGATTGGTTACTTTACCTCTGACCAATTTATTCTTCATGTTGTTGAGTGACCTGAATTGTTGAATTGTCCTATTAGGCGTTCCCATTATTAGTAGAATCGACCAATCCATCCCTTTGTTTTTTATTTTTATCAAGCATCTCTATCAATTGATTCAAATTATCCTTGTTTGTTTCTGAGGTATCCTTAGCAGCTTAGAGTAGTCTATTCCTCTTAAATTTTCCAACATTCTATGGGCTAATGTTCATTAAGATTATATTTTGTTCTTCTTATGAATTGCAAAGTTAGTTATTTTGAATAGAATTATTATTTTCAACGCTACTAACCAACTATCTAACTTCTATGCTTGCAGCTTAAAGCTCATCTTATTCCTTAAATCTCTTAATATCTATCAGCTAAGGTGTCTAGTTAATATAATTTGACCCGAGATAATGCCTATTTACTCTCTCTATATTGGTTTGATTTGGCTGACCATTAATTGTAAACTATGAAGACTATTACTAAGCCTGCTGCTACATCTTCATAGCTTGCTTTTAAATTCTTTGATATAAGCTAGCTTATTAAGGATGAGGAGGTTTAGTACCACTTCCATATTTAGAGTTTGGCTAGGATATATTATTCGGAAGTTCAATACTGAATTGACTCACTTCATATGACTCTCTTAATCTTTCATTGACTCCCAATACAGGCTATATAAGTATTAAAGATTTTGAATGTTTTACTAGTGTACTTGCTTCCTTAAATGTTTGTTGTGTAGTTAATCTCTGATTTGTTGATTCTCTACTTAAAGAATATCCATTCGAGTATTCCCCATATTTTGGCCTTATTTATTTTTGAGTTTAATTAGCACCAGTATTACTAATATTTTGAATTTTTATTTTTTTGCCCTATAACATATCATTGGTTAGGAGTGTTTTCTATAATTTTTTATCACTATCAATTTAATTCTATTGTTAATTCATGTTTCCAATTAAAGGAAGATATTTCTTGCTTCCACTAGGCTCTAACTTCTTTTTTTGATATCCAGACTAAGACATGTAGCCTTTAAGCTTGTAATACTCTTCATTTTTTCCTCTAAGAGCTGTTTCATCAGTCGATAGTTGGCTAATCTATTATTAATTTTGAATTAATTGTAAATTTGTAGAATTTCTCAACTCCTATCTCAGATTGTAATTACTATTTCTCTCTGCAGATTACCCCTAAAGAGTATTATGATTATTATTGTTGTAATTAATCTCATTATTGATCCAGTTCTTTAACTCTTCAGTTTCTTGTATTTTATAATCTAGCTAAGATTAAATTGAATCTGTTCTATTGATTGTAGCTCAATCCTATTCCAACGTTTAATTAGTTTGCAAAGTAGCATTTCCTAAAAGTATTTGATTGTTGTCATTTTGGTCATGGTCCAGTGTTCTAAGCATATTAATAAAGGATTCTTTATGATTTAGAGTAGATACTCTTTCCTAAGTTGATGTATATCCCTAGTTATTGTTTGAACTTGATCTTACTTACTGCAAATTACCTCCTTCATTGTATTAGTTTCCATTTTTACTTATCAATTTAGGTAAAATCATCTGTTATGGTGAAACCTCATTTAGTTTATTATCATTTACTGTATCAATGGTTTGATGATTTTTTCTTTTATTTTGAGATAACTTTGAACCTTAATCATCTGCCTAAGAAATAAGTCGTTCTGTGGGGCATAATAAAACTTCAATAAGTTTATTGTAATTATTTTGCCTTTTTTAAGCCCTTTATTTTAGATTTTAACTGAGCACATTTTGATTACTCGATATTTATCCACCTCCTATAGTTGTTACATTTTTATTAACTCGAGATTCTGTGTCGGTAGTTTCAGCATTATGCTCTTTCTAATCGAATAGGTTTATATTCATACTAATAAGCTGCTGCTTAATATGCTGCTAAAATTAGCTAGGATTTTACTGTCTTTAATCTATGTCTTAATTAGTTGAAGCAGATTTCTTTTTAGCTCCCCCGAATTATTAATAATAGTTTTTGATGTAGTTTTTAGCACTAGTATTATTCTGATTCATGGGTGAGTTAGATTCCACATAGTCCTCAATAGATGTTTGCCTGAATTACTTCAGATATTGCATGCTTTCAGGGGCTAGTTTAATACTTTCCTGTCTACCTGCAAAAGAATAGTTTCCCCCACCACCTTGCGATTAAAGAGTTGCTGGTAATTGCTGCTCTTGTATATTTTATTTATTCATCATTTATTAATCATCTCTAATTTCATTAATATATTTTAATTCATCTTTAGGGGTTTTGGGGTTTTGGGGTTTTGGGGTTTTGGG